AGTCTGCTTCTGGAAAAAAAAATACAGCCATTGAAAATCTTATGGAACACAGTTCTATGACACACGTTGGGTCACTATGAGTCAAAGTCAACTCTCTAGGAATTGGTTAATAAAAAGGAATGAACTATTGGTACATACAACACCTGGATGGATCTTGAAGTCACAATAGTCCACGTATTGAATGAGTCCATGTATGTAGCATTCTCGAAATGAAAACATTACAGAATTGGAGAACAGAGTAGTGGTTGCTGGGGGCAGGTGGGTCAGGATAGATGAGGGAGTTTCTTTGAGGTGACGGGACATGTCTGTGTTCTGACTGAGGTGGTGGTTACAAAAATGTATGTGATAAAATGGGTGGAAATAGACATGCACCCACACACACACACACACGTGAGTGCATGTAAAGCTGGGGAATGCTGAACAAGGTCTGTCTGTCTGTCTGTCTGTCTGTTAATTTCCTGGGCCTGATCATTCTACTCTGATTCTGTAAGATGTTAACATTGGGGGAAGCCAGGTGACAGGCACATGGACACTTCCTATACTTTCTTTTCAGCAAGACCTGTGTGTGTCTAAAATTCCTAAAAATAAAAAGTTTTCGAAAAATTCTTCCCAATGTGGAGGGGGTTAGATTCCTGAGCACCGAGGGGGGCTGGGCCTGGAGCCCACCCAGGGTTAAGGTAATGAGCCCACTGACGGGTTATTTTTTTATTTTTTTAAAATTTTATTATGATTTGGGTGAAAGTTTACAAGCAAATTCATTTTCCATATAGCAGTTCACATACACTTTGTCTCATGACATTGACTGCAATTTCCCACAATGCAACAGCTCCCATCCCACTTCCTCCCCATAGTTACCTCTTCCTTGTGTCCTTCCCTCCCATGCATTCCTGCCCCCTGAGCTGTCTCCCTGTGCACACACAGCCCTTCTATTCTCCCATGATTTGTCTCTCCAAGGAGTATATCTATCTAATGCAAATGTTCAGCTCATATACCTATCTTTGGCTGGAAGCCACAGGAGTGGGTTCCATTCCAGACCTGAAGGGCAGCTAGGGGCCACAGCTCAGGGGTTCCACCAGGCTCCATCAGACCTTTTCTTTTTATGATTTTGAGTTTTGTTCCACGAAGTTCTCCCACTCTATCCAGGGTCTCCCACGTAGCTCCCCCTCCGAGTGTCACAGGTTATTTTTTCACTCTGTGACCTCTTACCGATCTCTAGTCTTATTTATAGTGGGGAGTGGGGAGATGGTAAAGGCAGCTGGTCTGGGGAATTTATTCACAGCTTTACTGAGCACCTTCTCCTTGTCAGCCTTTGCCTGGAGACAGCATTGGGCCAGACGGCCAGGCCACCTGGCTTATGATTTAATGAGGCCTGAGCCCGACTGCCTGGTCGAAACTTGGCTTTCCACTTACTGGCTGTGTGTTGGACAGCAAGTGACTTCCAGTCCCTGGAAACAATCAAAGCTCTGTGCTTAAGTTGTTATCTTTCACCTGGCAGATGAGGCTACTGCCAACACCCACTCCACGGGGTTATTGTGAGGAACACATGCTGATGGGTTATGGTCTCCTGAGTGGGCACCATGTGCTTGTGTTAGAACTTGCTGCAGAGGCTGCTCCTCATAGAGCGACCGTTCTGGAGAAGACGGACAACGAACAGATGAGGCAGAGACACACGGGAACGAAATAGATGTCTTGATGGAGATCAGGTGGTCAGAGAAGGCCTTGCTGGCTTCAGGGAGCATAGGTGGTGGCCAGGAAGTAGACCAAGAGACACAAAGCCTAGGAGACCAGACAGACCTAGACCTCGAGACCCCAAGAGAGCCAGAGACTCAGACTAAGAGACTCAGAGAGACCCACAGACCCAGGAAGACCAAGACACCTAGAGAGACCCAGAGGCCTTCAGACCTAGAGATCTTCAGATTCAAGACCAAGAGACTGAGGAGCCCAGAGGCCCAGAGAAACCCAGGCAGGCCTGGAGGGACCATGAGACCCAGAGACCCAGAGTCCCAGGAGCTTAGAGACCCAGTGACACCAAGAAACTCAGAGGTACTAAGTGACCCAGAGACCCCAAGACCCAGGAATAATTAGAGACTCAGAAACCCAGAGGGACCCAGAGATATCGAGAGACTCTGAGATCCAGAGAGACCCGGAATTTCACAGATGCCCAGAGAGACAGAGACTCTGGAGAGACCCAGAGACCAAGAAACCTAGGATCCCACAGAAATCTGGAGAGACCCAGAGCTGCAAAGAGAACAAGAGATTCAAAGGGACTGAGAGACCCATAGATACAGAGGGACCGAGACCCAGATCCAGGGAGAGACCCACAGATACAAAGGGACAGGGAGATGCAGCGAGACACAGAAGAGGAGGGGCAGATGCCGCGGAGTGAAAATCCACACTGGCCAGCAAGGGCCGAGGCCTGCGGTTGGGAACAGGCAGAGAGGGGATGAAGCGAAGCTCCGTGGGTGCCGAGTGTCTCGCTGGTGATGAACAGGTTGTGTCACAGGAGGAAGCTGGCCTCTGGGGCCTGGGGACCTGGCCCTGGCCCTGCCTCATCACCCACCTGCTTAGCCCACATTTCCTACATCTCTCAGTCAAATGGCAGGACCAGGTCCCTGTAGCCTCAGTTTCCCCATCTGAAAAATGGCAATGAGAACAACTTCACATGGTCGAACAGGGCGAGGAAGAGGATGGAACCACTTCACTCGGTCAGATAGGGCAAGGAAGAGGATGGAACCACTTCCCACGATCAAACAGGACAAGGAAGAGAAAGCACACGGTGTTGGTTTTTGTGACTCGAGTTGCAGGACTTTGAGCCCAAGTGTTTTAACTTCTCTCAGAGCCTCCATTTCTAGTGAACACATCCAGACAGGCCTCAGAGAGATTGCAGGTTCAGTTCCATACCTCAATAAAGTGAGTGATACGAATTTGTTGGTTTCCCAGTGCATATAAAAGTTGTGTTTGCACTAAGCTGCAGTCTACTAAATGTGCAGTAACATTATGAGAAAGTTTGAAATGCTGTGAGAGTGACCAAAATGTGACACGAGACATGACGTGAGCATTTGCTGTCGGAAAAAGGGCGCCAATAGACTTGTTCCGCGCAGGTTTGCAAAATAAAGCAAAACAGCAAACTCACTGCCATTGAGTCAATTCCAACTCATAGCAACCCCCTTTTGGTTTCCGAGGCAGTGACTCTTTACAGAAGTAGATTGCCCAGTCTTCCTTCTGCGGAGTGGCTGGTAGCTTTGAACCGCCAACCTTCTGGTTAGCAGTCAAATGCCTTAGGCACTATGTTACCAGAGCTCCTTAAGCAGGTTTGAATTGTCTGAGAAGCACAATAAAACGAGGTATACCTGTATTTTAAGATTCACCTGTGAAGTATGGAAAGCAATGCGGGCCCTGCCTGTTCCACAGGTTTATGTTAGCAAAATGAGCCAGTGAGGACGAAAAGGCTGTAGGTCCCCCAGGGAAAGCCTGGTGATCCCAAGGTGAAGGACTGCTCTCCCACCTGGGAGCCCCGTCCTGGCTCTGCCTTCAGGCTCTCCAGCCCAAAGTTCCCAGGGGACTTTGAAAGAAGATGTGGCCTTTGGGAACTGCAATGCCAAGACAATATCCTCTTTTGTTCAGGTTTTGTGGTTCCTGCCCCAAAACAAATGGGGTCTCTCCACTACATAAACGTTGGTGGTTTGAACCCTCCCAGTGACATCAAGGGGAAAAAGCCTGGTAATGTGCCCCAGAAAAGACTGCAGACAAGAAACCCGATGGGGCAGTTCGACTGTGAAACACGCGGGGTCGCCGTGAGTCGGAATTAACTCTGCAGTCGCAGGTGTTTCGTATTTTGGTGCCAAAGCAAACACAAGACACACCCAGCACCCCTGCCCCAACAAGGCACAATCAGTGAATTAAACCTTTCCCACCCTCCGCTCAAAGCCCAGATCTCCCGTCCGGTTCAGCACCTTGGCTCCGCTTTAGTGAAGGGCAGGGAAGGGGCCTAGCTGAGCCCCCAGTCCGCCCTGCAGCGTTCAGACCTTGGAGCTCAGCTGGCCTGCGCGCACTCCTCCGCAGACGAGAGATTTGGAGCCCTTCTGACCGCAGGTGACTGGCTTCACCAGCAGGTAGGGGTGGGTGGTGATAACAAGCCCCACCCCCTTCACTGGAAGGGAGCTGATTGGTGGAGAGCCTGGACGAGGCGGGGCCGCGCTGGACCTATATTAACGCGCTCAGTCACGGGCTGGTAGTTATGCAGTAGGTAATTGCTGAGCTCAGGTGAGGCTTTTGGGGGCAGGAGGTGGGGATGTCTGGGGGTGCCTAGAGGGAGATCCCGTGGTTGACCGCTGAGGGTGGAGGGAGCCCTCCCCTGAGCTTTTAGTTGGCGTCTCTCCAGCGATGACGGGGTTGTGGGGGGTGGGCTTGGGAAAGTAGCTTGAAATGCTGAAGGCGGACCCATCTCAACTAGCTAACGTCATTCCGGGCCTCAGTTTCCTTATCTGTGAGTTAGAGTCTGGGGTTGGGGTTGTGAGTGGGGGCAAGAGGACCAGTTAGACGCTTGGGCTTTTGGAGTCAGACAGGCTCCACCTTCAACTGGCTGTGATCTCCGTGCCTCAGTTTCCTCGTTTGCGACAACTTCCTTTCCAGGAAGAGAGAAGATAAGTCGTAAAGCGTTGAGCACAGCTCCAGGCACTTGGCCTCAATGGTGCTTGTTGCTGTTAGGACTCCCCTGGGGCCTGGCCTGGGTCCCAGGAGGAGGAGCAGTGCTCCGATCCCCTGCAACTCTGTATTTTCTGGCTTCTCCCCCCAACCACATGCTTCCTTCAGTACCAAGCCCCTTAATTGCCACGCCCACCCCTCTACCGTCACTCTCTGTCCTGCACTCTCTGTCCTGCACGACTCACCCGTCTTGACTTGTGGGGGAGGGGAGAGACAAGTGCTAACTAAGTCCCGGGGTGCTTTTTCTACAGGTCACCCTGCCCCGCCCCACCCTGCCCCACCCCTATCCCCATGAGATGAGTGCCCCCCACGACCCTGCCTCTGTCCCTGTGGTTGCCAGCCAGGGGAAACTGGGGGGCTGGAGCTGTCCAGGTGGGGGCAGTGGCTCCCTGCTTTCCCGCCGGCACCAGGAGCTGCGAGCCTTCCTCAGCCTTCTGGGTGAGTGTGCTTTGCTTGGCTGGCAAGGAAGGGGCTGTGGGGCCAAGTGTGAACATAGATGTGAAGGGTAGGGCCTGCCCCTTCGTCTCTCAGGTGACCCAGGTTTGGCAGAGGAGAGGCAGTGGTGTCAGGAATCTTGGGGTTTGGCACCCTAAGGCCACTCCTGCCTTAGAGATTATGGGGAGGGGTAACCCGGGACCTCCTTTTCCTGTACAGAGGACAGTTTTCTCCAGGAATTCCTCTCCAAAGATCCCTGTTTCCAGATCTCGGATAAGGTGAGGGGAGCAGAGTGCAGGTAGAGGTTGAGGGACTCACTTGGAGAAAAGGCTGGATTCTGCTACTTTTGGGGAACCCCTGGGCTGGTGAATGGTCCCCGGGTAATGCGAACGGTTTGTGCCTGACTGCTAAACTAAGTCAGTGATGCAAACCACCCAGTGGTGGTGTGGAACAAAGGGCTGGCGATCTGCTCTGAAACATCACAGCCGAGGAAACCCTATGGCGCAGTTCTGCTCGGCAACACACGGGGTCACCATGAGTCAGAATCAACTTGATGGCAGTGGGTTTGTTATTTTTGGTTTGGGTCTGGTGGGGAAAGCGGTGTTTTCTCCCACTCAGCAACATTTGCTTGGGTACAAAGGTCCTGGCCCCTAGTCCCCCTCTTCTCTTTCCTGTTGACTTCTAACGCCCACCCCTCTGTCTCTATGCAGTATCTCTTGGCCATGGTGCTGGTTTACTTCCGGCGTGCCAACCTGCAGCTCAGTGAATATACCCACAGCAGCCTGTTCCTGGCACTGTGAGTGTGTGTGCGTGTGTGCGCGGGGTGCGGCAGGGGAGAGACTTGCTGGGGGTTGCAGGGTGGGCCAGAACAGGCGCTCTGGCCTCAGCTCCCTGACCCCGGGCTCCTGTGATCAGGTACCTTGCAAATGACATGGAGGAGGACCTGGAGGACCCCAAGTGCGAGATTTTTCCCTGGGCGCTGGGTGAAGATTGGCGTCCTCGGGTGGCGGACTTCCTGCACCAGAGGGACAAGCTGTGGGCCCGGATGGGCTTCCGGGCAGCTGTGAGTCGCCAGAGCTGTGAGGAGGTGAGATCCTTGGGTGAGAGAAAGTGGGCCTTGGGGGGGCCTGTCACCCCACCGACCACTCGCTCCCCTCACAGGTCATGGCAAATGAGCCATCCCACTGGGCCTGGACCCGGGAGCGGCGCCCCCACCACGGAGGTGCTCAGAGGGGCTGCCCAGAGGCCCCAGTCTCCCTGCCCCGGGGCCCTGGGCTCTCTCCGCCCCACTGCTTCCTCTGTGGCTTGCCCCCATGCCACCGCCACCCCCACCTGCCTGGCCCATCCATGTGGCCTTCTCCAACCCCTGTGTGGCATCACCCTCTGTCCCACAATCATCTCTCAGTGGTCAGAGACCTCTGGGCTGGGGGCTTCCTCCTCGTCCTGCCACCCCAGCTGTACCTGGAGCCGGGCGCCTACACCCTGCACAGTGAGTGGGGACAGGAGCTGGGGGACAGGCTTGGGAGCCCAGGAGGCAGGAATAGGGAACGACAGAATGTGGGGAGGGCGTGTGGGCCCTCCTGCCTGCGTAAACTTGTCACCAGGCAGACTTCCTCTCTGAGCCTCACCTGTCCTTCTCCACCCAGTCCTCCCAGAGCCTCCGCTTTGCCCTGGGCCCTGACACGTGGCAGGGTGAAGAGCAGCCATCTGCTTGTCTGCTGACCCGACACAGCCCTGGCTGTGGCCCTCCGGCCTCCCGACTTGTTGGCCTCAGGCTGGCAGTACTGCCCACGTCCCCTGCCCCTTTTTCCCCTAGCCTGCAACTTGTACTCACTGTGGCCCCGACCCCCTCAAATAAACTCGCGTCCACAGGATACCAGTTGTGCTCAGGTCCAGGCCTGGCTCCTTGACACAGGGCAGTGGATGGGAGGGGCTGGATGGGAATGGTGCTCTGCCAGGGTCAGGCCTGTACCCTTCCTAGTGCTAGTAATCACTGTTCTAAACCTGTTCCTCTAAAACTTCTGCCACTTACGGAGATGAGATCTGCACAGTGTGTGGGGAACTAAGTGAGGTGGAGAAAGCCGTTGAGAGGCCTTGGAACCTATTTAAAAAAAAAAAAATCCAGAAAACAGCTGTATAGTCAGGCCAGGAATGACCACAGGGTCTGGTCCATTTAGAAATTAAAAAAATAAAAACTTCCTACCCTGGGCTGCTATCAGATATAATGTATGATTGTAACTCCAAAAAAGATGATGGGGACCCAGAAGAGTGAATTTCTTATTCGTGGGGAGCAGGAAAGGCTTCCCAGAGGAGGTGGTATCTGAACAATGTCCAGCTCACCGTGGAGGGTGGGGAAGGATATTCTTGGAGAGACAGTCTAGGGAAGTGATGAGCACCTGGTTTCTGGAGCCAGACATAAACTCAGAATGTTACTTCATCTATTTCCCTGGGCCTCCCTTGCCTCATCTGTAAAATGGGTTGCACTAGGAGCTGTTGTTTCAACTCGTAGTGACCCCAACAGAACACTGCCCAGTGCTGCACCAGCTTCACAAACATGGCCATGCGTGAGCCCACTGTCGCAGCCACTGTGTTGATCCACCTCGTGGGGGGTCTTCCTCATTTCTGCTGACCCTCTTCTTTACCCAGCATGATGTCCTTCTCCAGAGACTGGTCCCTCCTGAGGACACGGGGACGGGAATCTGGCACAAATAGATGTGGGCCAGGGATGCAGGTCTCTGGAAGAAGGGACTGCTGCCCCGCCCACCAGAAGGAGAAAGGGGAGGGCGTGTATGGTGAGCGGCTGGAAGAGGAGATGGGACCTGGGGAGAAGTCTCAGGAGGTCAGGATGCTGGGAGTCTGGACCTGCTTTGTGAGTGGCTCCCAAGAAACACACACACACAAAAAAAGCCTGGCAACTGCAGATGCTAAGGGCAAAGACAACGACCAAAAAACAATTTAAATTTGTTTTTCAAGTAGGTCGTATGTTCACACATTTTGAATTTTGAGCCGAGAGTCACTCTCTGACTCCTGACCCGCAGCTACCTGGTTCCCCTCCTTGGAAGAGATGACAGTAATAGTCTCTTGTGTGTTTCCAAAGAGTCTAGACATATATGACTTACTATGAAATTATTAATTGTTGTTGTTACGTGCCATCAAGTCGGCCCCGTCTCATAGCGACCCCTCCTTGGGTTTCCAAGGTGGTATCGTTATGGAAGTAGACTGCCCAACCTTCCTTCTGAGGAGTGGCTGGTGGGTTTGAACCAACAGCCTTCTGGTTAGCAGTCAAGTCATAGTGCCTTAGGCACTATGCATTGAAGTGAAATTCACAGAACATGACATTAACCATTTTAAAGTGGACATAAAACTACCTTCACAAAATTGTGCAGCCCCCACCTCTGTCTAGTTTCAAAACGTTTTCATGTCCCCAGAATAAAAGCTTACACCATTCTTCCCTGTCCCATACCTAACTCTATGCATTTGGTGGTGTAGTGCCTAAGGCATTTGAAGGCTGGTGGTTCAATCCTTGGAAGGAAGTTTGGGCAATTTAATTCTGTAGAGATACCGCCTCGGAAACCCAAGGAGGGGTCGCTATGAGTCGGATCCGAATCGACGGGAGTGATTTTTTTTAGTTTTAGACATTTCATGTAAATCCCTACACTATATGTGACTTTTTGTGTCTGGCTTCTTTCATATAGCATAGATGTCTGAAGTTTTCCATACCATAGCATGTACCAGTATTCATTCCTTTTTATGGCTAAATAATATTCCATCACATGTATGAACCACATTTTGTTTATCCGTTCATCTGCTGATGGACAGGTTTGTGAAGGTGATGGTGGAATGGTGGGACACCATGGGTTGAGCTAGAGGGCTCTGAGGGAAGGGCTGGCTTTGGCTACCTCTCAGTGCATCTGTGATGGTTAAGGCTGTGTATCAATTTGACTGGGCCATGATTCTCAGTGGTTTGGCAGTTATGATGTCATCTTCCACGGTGAGATCTGATATAATGTAATCACCTCCATGATGAGCTCTGCTGTGAGCAGCCAATCAATCAGTTGAAAGGGAGTTACCTTGGGGTATGGCTTCCAGTATATAAAGACCTTCTGGGAAAACTCTAGATTTTTGCTCCCTCTGGATCCTACGTTTGGCTCTTCATCATGTGACCTCTGGTTCCTGGACTTGAACCAGTGGCCTGTCATACTGCCTGCCTTTGGAGCCTGTGAGCTGGTAAGCCTCCTAGATTCCTCAGCCTCTGCAGCCAGCAGCCTGCTGTACTGCCTGCCAATCTTGGGTTTGTCAGCCCTTGCAGCTACGTGAGTCAGGACAAACCTCCATACTAACTTCTGACCCATGGACTTGGGACTTGCCTGCCTCTACAGCCACGTCTCTTGTACCCTGTCATGCTGTCAGAAGGGACCAGACCCTGGAGAAGGATATGATGCTTGGTAAAGTCGAGGGTCGACAAATAGAGGGAAGACCTTCAATGAGACGGATTGATGCCGTGGCTGCAACAATGGGTTTAAGCACAGCAACACTTGTGAGGATGATGCGGGACCAGGCAGAGTTTTGTTCTATTTATTGTACACAGGGTCGCTGTGACTCAGAGCTAATTCAAATGCCACCTAACAACAACAACCACATGAGCCATTTCCTTGAGGTAAATCTCCCTCTCTCTCTCTCTCTCTCTCTCTCTCTCTCAGCTTCACTGGTTTTGCTTCTCTAGTGAACCCAGCCTAAGATAGCATCTTTCCTCTCCCTGATGCAGGCACAAAGAACTTGCAGTTCCCCTCATTGGCATGTGCTCCCCAAGTCTCTGGACTTTTGCAGGTGTTGTTCCTTCTCTTTGGAACACCCGCCCACCCACCTTGCCTGGTTAACTCCTACCTGTCCATCAACTCAGCTTCCTTAATCCTCAACCCCGGGCCTAGAGTGCCCCTCCCGCAGCAGCTGCTGGTCTGCCTTGGTCACGCAGGGCAAGCACCTGTCCCCAAGGGCTGAGTCAAGGCTGGATGCCAGCATGCTGTTTCCCTGACTCACCAGGTGAGGCATGGCAGGCAGGTCACACCGCTCTGGGGCCTGGAGTTTTCCTCCCTGTAAAGTAGGGGTGAGAGAGGGATCATATTAGTGGTTCTTAGCCTTTCTGAGGTCATGGACCCTACAAGCCTAGGAAAGCTATGGGCTGTTTCCTGAAATGCTGGGTGGACACCCTAAGAGGGCTGTAGCGGTTGCTGGGCTGGGGACCCCCAAGACTGGTGAAAAGCCCCGAGCTGGGGACCTCCACAGTCGCCCCCCACACACCCACACACTGCAGCTAGGGCTCCGAGTGAGCCAGCTGTCCTGTTCGCATCCTCGGTTGTCCCCTGCTGGGTAAGAAGGCACACAGGCCTTCCCAGGTGGGTGGGCAGAGGGCGTGAGCTAGCTCCCCGACTCCAGAGCCCTCGGAACGCTAGAGAAAGGTGGGCTCCCACAGTTGCACGCTGCACCAGCGGGATCCCAAGGCCGAGAGGGGCAGGGACTTACCCAAGGTCACGCAGCCACCAGCAAGCCCTGGCCCGGAGGCCACGTTCCCCGCGCCCCACCCAGACGCCCGGAGCCGCTAGGACCGGGGGGGGGGCGGGGAGGCAGCCAGCCCCGGAGCTGGATTGCAGGGCGACCGGCGGCCGGCAGGGTCCGCTCGCAGCCGCCGCAGCTCGGGGAATCTCGGCCGTGCCCTGGGGGCGGCGGGCGGGGACCGGGACAGCTGCCGCGCCGGGTGCGGGGCCCGTGGGGATGCGCTCGGGGTGGGGCCGGCCCTGCAACTCGAGCCTCGGGCCCCAGTTAAAAATACCCCCGCCTGTGTGCGCCCCTCCCCCGCCTGCCCTTCCGTCCCGGCCTTTCCCGGGGGACAGTCCTGCCTCTTTCTAATTTGTCCTCTCGCGGAGTTGGCCTCGGGCCTGCGGAGGGAGGAACAGCAGCCACCGATAGTCCAGCTCGGTGCCCGGGAGATAAGGGGCGCGCAGAGGAAGCGAGGCAGGAGCCCGCGGAGTCGAGGAGGGCGGAGGAGGGCGGAGGGGCGCGAGAGGAGGGCGGGGAGGAGCGCTCTTCCTGGTTGGGCCCTGCCCTGAGTTGCCACCGGGAAGCCAGCCGCAGGGACCTCAGCGGCTCCCCAAACACTCCCTCCCCAGGTAAGGAGCTGGGTGGCGGCCCCCGCGATTCTCTGCAACCAGCCACTGCGCCCTGGGCTGCCGGGGCTGCCCTTGCTCGGCCTGTCCAGGCCCCTTCCGAGTGCCTGGGCCACCGGCGGGGTGTCTGGAAGGGTGGTGCCCTGCGTCTTCCCCAGCTTCTCCTCTGTCGCCAGGGGCTGGGCTGAAGCAGGGCTGGCCGGGAAGGCACTGGGGCCCAGCCCGGCTGCTTCAGGGGCCTGGGGTGGGGGACCCAGACTGCCTGGAGTTCCCAGCCCACACCCCAGGGAGTGTGGTCTGCTGGGCTGGGAGCCTGGCTGCTTTGGGGAGGGGGATTACAGAGTCAGAGAGGTCTTCCCTGGGGCTCCCTGTGTTATGCTGGCTCTGCTCCGCCCTACCTGGCCTGGCTGGCTGACCGCAGGGCTGCTGGCCCAGGACAATGGGAGTCTGGGAAGGGTGGAGCGGTGGCCATCACACCTGAGGTCTGCAAGGCCCTCTCCTGGTTTCCGGGAACAGAGAAGTAGCTGTGAGCCCTGAGTTTGTGAGGGGAGCGGTGGTTCAAGGGAACCCCAGGTTTGGGGAGGAGGGTAGTCAGGAGCAGAAGAGTAGGCACTAGGAGGCAGGACCCCAGTTCTAGTTCTGGGAAGACCTGGGTTCTGAGCAGGCCGTGGGTCCCCTAGGATGGCGGAGGAGTTCATCACCCCGGTGTACTGCACCGGGGTGTCAGCCCAAGTGCAGAAACAGCGGGCCAAGGAGCTGGGCCTGGGCCGTCATGAGAACGCCATCAAGTACCTGGGCCAGGATTACGAGCAGCTGAGGGCGCGATGCCTGCAGAGTGGTGCCCTGTTCCGCGATGAGGCCTTCCCCCCAGTGCCCCAGAGCCTGGGCTTCAAGGAGCTGGGCCCCAACTCTTCCAAGACCTACGGCATCAAGTGGAAACGGCCCACGGTGAGAAGGGCTGCTCTGGGTGAGAGTGGGACGGGACCTCAGCTCCCCAGCAAGGAGTGGGGTCTGGGATGGCTGGGTGCCAGTTTCCGGGAGGGACCGGCCCTGGAACAGGACTCTGGTTCACCTGCAGGACCTGCTCTCAAACCCCCAGTTCATTGTGGATGGAGCCACCCGCACAGACATCTGCCAGGGAGCACTGGGTAGGCCCCCCAGAGTTGTGGGGTGTTTTCCGTAATAGTTCCCCATTCCCGTACGGCTCTGCCCCAACCCCTCCCTCCTGCAAGTCCAGGCAGGCTCTGTCTATCAGCGCTGGGCTTGTTTGCCAGGATTTCTGGGTCTCTTCTGTGGGCTCAGAAGAGCTGGGGACACTTCACTGGTGAAACTCCGAGCTCTCCCCAGCATGGGCACCCATGTGCACCTGCAGGGCCAGGTTATAGAGCAGATTTGATGTGGGCTCCCTCCCCTCCCAGGGGACTGTTGGCTGCTGGCTGCCATTGCTTCCCTCACTCTCAACGACACCCTCCTGCACCGAGTGGTCCCACATGGCCAGAGCTTCCAAAATGGCTATTCTGGCATCTTCCACTTCCAGGTGAGGCTCCCTGCACATCTGGGGAGGGGGTGGTGGCCAGGGGAGGTGGGGAGAGGTGACCCACAGCAGTGTAAAGCTGGGGTGACTGAGGGCCACACCCCGCGGGGGCCAGCCCTCCCTCTTGAAGGTATTTGACCTCTCGATGACAGTTCTGGTCTGTCATGTGTGAGACCGCTGAGCGGGTATCTCAGTTGGCAGTCTTCTCGGGTGGCTGCGTGTTTCTGGGAGAAAGTGTTGGGAACAGTAGGGAGAGCTCTGGGTTATATTCTGGAAGATAGATTCTGTTCCTTCCCCGGGCCTCAGTTTCCCCATCTGGAAAATAAGGAGTGTTCCTCTGGGGTCAGTGCTCTCCCCACCTGCAGCCTCCTGGGCCTTGGCAAACTGCAGCCGCTGACAGCGCTGCAGAAAAAAAAAAAGACTCAGATTAAGTCCCATTAAACCAGCTTTTCCTGACTGCGCTCAAGGCTCCTCTTTCCAGTCACTAATTTTCAATGAGACACACCCCACAATCCAGGGCGAGACCCTCCAGCCCTGGTGGCCCCAGGCCTGCCCTGGGGTGGGGGTTGTTGTTGGTGAGGGCTGTCCTGGGTGTCCTCTCCTTCCGCCTGGTCGAGCAGCCCCGTATCCCATTCCACCCCCATCCATCTTGGAGGGGTGGGGTCTGAGGAGGAGTCTGGAGGCGGAGGAGGCCTGCGGGGACCCACTGTGCTGATATCCCTTGGCCCAAGGCCGCACCTGCCCCGCCGGCAGACCGCAGGGGCGTGGCCCCTTTCCCCGACTCCTGCCGTCACTCCTCCAATCCGCTCCTCCTAGGCCTCCGGTTGGTCTGTTCAACTCCCACCGCCCCCGCGCGCTCCCTGATCCCGCCTCCTGCCCTTCCCCCAGTGTCCAGCCCAAGGCCCATCAGATTGCTTGTGGCTGAGTTCAGGTCCCAGGCGCCCTGGACTGGATGTTCCAACCGCTCCTCCCACACGGGGAAACCTGTCTCTCTTAGGATCTCTGGAATAAAGCCCGTGATTGAGGGAAAAACAGCCACTCCTATCTTGTGTTTACAGGATAGGGATGTCACATTTTCTTTCTGCATCCAATTTACGGATATATCCCCCCCACATACCGCCTGGGAAACCCGAGGAGGGGTCTCTATGGGTCGGATACGCTCTGGCAATGAGTTTGGTTTGGTTTTTATGCCCCTCCCCAGGTCTACAAGGGGAAGGGGAAGGTAGAAACATGGCTGAAGGGCTTTGCAGTCTCCTTACCAAGGAGATACCCCTTACTGTTGCCTTAGAGTTCATTCCGACTCATAGCTACCCTATAGGACACAGTAGAACTGCACCATAGAGTTTCCAGGCTGTGATCTTTATCGGAGCAGATCTTTTCTCCAGGAGCATAGGGTTTGAACCTTCCACTTTTGGTTAGCGGTCAGCGCTTAACCACTTGGCCACCAGGGTTCATATCCAGGAGATACCTTGGGTTATTTTATTATTATGTTTTTTTTTTTTTTTAATTAGGATTTGGGTGAAGATTTACAGAGTAAATTCACTTTTCATACAGCAGTTCACATATACTTTGTCTCATGTCATTGACCAAAATTTACAATGCAGCAGCTCCCCTCCCACTTCCTCCCCATAGTTACCTCCTCCCAGTGTCCATCCCTTCATACTCTTCTGCACCCTGAGCTATCTCCCTGTGCGTAAGCAGCCCTTCCTTCTCCCATGATTGTTCTCTCCAGGGCGTGTGTCTACTTGAGGTAAATGTTTAACTCACATGCCTATACTTTGTTTGGCTGGAAACCACAGTTGTGGGTTCAATTCCAGACCTGAAGGGCAGCTAGGGGCCATAGTCTCAGTGGTTACACCAGGCTCCATTGGACCAGCAAACCTGGTCCCCACCTTCTTTTTTTTTTTTTTTTTGCCTCCAAATGATTTTGAGTTTTGTACCACATTGTTCTCCCTCTTTATGTAGGATCTCCTACATCCCTTCCAAGTGGATGGCAGTGGTAGCTGGGCACCATCTAGTTCTTCTGGTCTCATAGTTGTATAGGTTGCAGATCGGATGGTGTACCAGTTGCTAGGACTGATTGTTCCCATTAATTTTGGTTTTCTTCTTTCTTCTTGACGAGGAGAGACCCGTTGTTGCATCTAGATGGCAGCTTCCTAGCTTTTAAGGTCCCAGTCGCTACTCGCCAAAGTAGTAGGTGGAACAATGTTTTGTATAGTATGTTATGCCAATTGAGCTTGATGTCCCCTGCGACTATGGTCCCAAGCCCGCAGGATCAACTACTCGGTCCCTCTGGGTAGCTGGCTGTGACCAAGCAATGACCATAACCTTGCCCCTTGTCAGCTCTACTATACACCTGGGAATTCTGATCATTCACATGAACTTATAGGCCCATTGTCTGCCAACCCTGTATATGATCTTGGATACACTCTCCATTTAGACATACCTAATTGTTTAGCTTGTTCACACCTTGGGTTATTTTAAAAACATGAAGAGGGCTGTGTTAAAGGCTGTACCTGCCTGACCTTGTTTAACCTTCTTGTGAGGGAGGCACTGTCGACCCTTTTTACCGGTGGGGAAACTGAGGCTTGGGAAGGTTAACTCGCTCCGGATCATGCCATCTGGTAAGTGGCAGAGCTGAGGCTCAAGGTGGGGGATCAGTGAGCTGTGTGTGATCAAGACCCAGGTGTGCCAAAGCAGGTACTCACCGTGACCCCCCTTCCTCAGCTGTGGCAATTTGGGGAATGGGTGGACGTGGTGGTGGATGACCTGCTGCCCACCAAGGACGGGAAGCTGGTATTCGTACACTCCGCCCAAGGGAATGAGTTCTGGAGTGCCCTGCTGGAGAAGGCCTATGCCAAGTGAGTAGGGACCCCAGGGACAGCTCCCACCCACCCTGGGGGTGAGGGCTCCCAGCCCCCTTACCAGGTACCTGCTTGGTGCTGGGTGCCTAGAGTACTCACCTGGGGCTGCCCACAGGGTGAATGGCAGCTATGAGGCCCTGTCGGGGGGCAGTACCTCGGAGGGCTTTGAGGACTTCACAGGTGGGGTCACCGAGTGGTATGAACTGCGAAAGGCCCCCAGCGATCTCTATAGCATCATCCTCAAGGCGTTGGAGCGAGGCTCCCTGATGGGCTGCTCCATTGATGTGAGTGTACCCAGCCCCCCGCCCCCTGCACCCGACCTTGTACCCTGACCATGACTGAGTCCCGTCATCGGTGGTTCCTTCTCCCCAGCGCTGGTCTCATCCTTACCCCTCCTTGGTCTCCAGACTCCCACCCTTCACCTCAGCACCATCTCAGAATCCACACCAGCCCCCACCATCACTTCCTGCCCACCCGCTACTATCACTTCCTGCCCACTCCCCACCATCACTTCCTGCCCATCCTCCACCTCCATGCCTGGTGTCACTCCCGTCCCCACCTCCTCCCTTTCCCCAAACCTCAAATGGCAGCTCTTCCCGAGACTTGTTCCTGGACCATACTGCTCTGTTTCATTCCATCCCATTCCTGACATCCAACTCCATGTCCATCCGCCGTCCAGCCTCGGACCACCCTTCAGCCCTCAGCTCAGCTCCCAGCCATTTGGTACCTCACTCCATGCCTCATTCTCAACTTCACACCCCTCCCACCGTTCACTGCTCTTCAGTTCCCA